GTGTTTGAGTTTTATTTTATTTTTTTCTAAAACTCCAAATAACTTGAAATTTTAGGCATGTATTCTTCAAAAATAGGAGAATCTAATAAAAATATCAAAAAATTAAAATGCCCCTAAAAAGTTTCAGGGTATTTTGATCAATTTATTTTTTGTGAATTATTTTTTAAATATTTTTATTAGGTGCGCCTTGATGAGCAGAACACACGCCTGAAATTTCACGTTATTTGGATTTGTATAAAAAAAATTAAAAATTAAAATACGAAATAAGATCGTGGCCGCCAAATCGGCCCATATTCAATCTAGGCCAAGTGAGCTAATTTCAGCATTTTCCATATATATATATAGGAAATATCTACAAAACGCTTATAGGTGAAGTTCTACAGTACTTCACCTACACCTCATTATCGTCCAAAGTTCATCCGGTCACAATTGTCCAGGAGTATTTGAATTTTTATAATTATGAACTAACAGAATTATCTAAAATTTGGGGTGTGTGTACATATGACCAAGTCGCACCAAAATAAAATATTAAGAAAATAATAGACATAAAATAAAATGATGAAATTACCCCTTAAACTTTATAGGGTTTTTTGTATAATTTTTATCATTTTATTTGTTTTATATTTTATTCATGTGTATCTCACTAAGGAGTACACACCTACAAAATTTCATATCATTATGATTTGTAAAAACAATATTAAAATTCAAATACAATCAGACATCTGTAACCGTGTGATAAACTTTGAACGATGATAAAACCGTAGGTGAAGTACTGTAGAACTTCACCTATAGGTGTTTTGTAGTGTTTGCAAACATGGAGCCCAAGGGTCTAGGTGTATGTATTCATTTACCCCAATGTTTGAAAATGTGACTCAAGAGTGGAACTTGGACCCTGGCTGGTCCGAGTTGCTTGGGCGAGTCTGAGTGCACTTGCCCGAGTTTGCTCTGCGGCGTCCAACGAGCCCAAATATCCCATAAAGATGCGGACAAAATAGCGAAAAGTATAAAAAAATAGAAAAATAAAAGGAAAATGAAAAACATAAAAAGTATGTACAAGATGAATTACATGAGTTTAAATATAAAAAAATTCACCCAAAAATAAATCAATTATGTGATTATAAATTTAAACTAAAAAAAAAAAATTTCCCAAAATTTCATGGCCGATCCCCCATTCTTTGAGCTTGGTGCAAATTCGATCCCTCCAATACTCATCAAAGTTTCCTTAGATAACCCCCATAGAAACCCCTTAACCATATTTGGTTTCAAGTATGGATCTATTCAATCTGAGTCCAACTCTTGAAAAGTTGGATGGATAGTAGATCCAAAACTAAGATCTCATAAACCTGAGGTTCCTTGCATTTCTTTGAGGGAAACAAGTCTATGATTGGATGAAGAACCCAAAAATAAGCTACGAAAGCATATTTTGTTGAAGTTTGACCAGCTGTTGTGAAGAAATTGCAATTTTTGAAATCGGGCAAAACCTTTGTTGATATTTCGATACCCCGTATCCATCAAATGTAATGCTTTTTGCTCAAATCTAATCTATCTAGTGAATTGTTCATACAAAAATGAGTCTATGGGGAAGATTTAGGATCAAATGGCTGCATTTGGGATATAAAAAGGGAGAGAAAAGTGGTGGATTCCACCCCCATTCATATTCAATCTAGTTTCCAACTTGAGATAACTAGCCAAGTCCACCTAAAGCTCATCCAAGTTTCACAGTACTCGATCGAGTTGCTACAATAACTCACCCGCACACTATAGCACACTATAGCAGTATGTATACCCCTCTAGTTTGCAAACACTGGATTTACCTCTAGGCTATGATGTCAACGTTCCTTATGCTATTTTGGACTCAATCAAATACATGTGGTTGACGCAAAAATATATATAGTTAAGATTAATTTATAGCAGTGAAGGAATGGAATCCCAGCCTATACTTGCCTTTCCTAATAGCATATTACAAATGTAACAAAATATAGTATAGAGATACCAAAATCTTAGAATAAATCCAAGCCAAAGCATATACAGGCTCCTACTATCCATTTTATGACAAAGAATGCTGCAACTTACCCGCCCACATAATTAAGAAGCTCCTTTTGCTTCAATGCTACCCTATCCCTATCCCGTTCTTCCACAATATTTTGAAGCTCCTCCAACCCAACCTCAAGCTTCCCAAGCAATTCCTCTCCATGCTCCTTTTTAGATGGGGCAATGCCTGAAATAATCATATCCTTTCCTTGCTTTAGAGTACGGGATGCCTGCCTCACATTCTGTTCATTGCCAATAAAATAGCACTATCACAGTGATTACAGTATCTTTCCCAAAGTCAAAATCAAATATCAACAACATCATTATAAGGCTTAAGAAGAATGTGAGGAGTTTAAATCAGGATTATCTATTAAAACATATTGAATCGAACTTATTCATTAAAACAAAATATTGTATAGAGCTATAGTTGTCAAAGATAAGTTCAACAAAGAAGAAAAATAAACATAATCATTTTTATAAGAAAACGAAAAAAAGATGAGGTATAACGATTTTGACATACACGTTCAACAGAATCCAATGCCTTGGTACCCGCGATCTTAAGACTTTCTGTAATATCTTCTAATGGCTTTTGAACCTCTATGATAGCTTTGTTATTAATAGGAAGCGCATATCTCAACAAAGCGCCGGGATCTTTAATTGGGGGGCCAGATATTAAAACAGCAAGATCTGGCAACACAGGCTTGGGCTCGAATGCAGAAGCAATGCCCCCAAATGAGCCCCCACTGAACAATCCAAGTGATAATGCGACAGCAAATGCACACTTTCTTAAACAAACAAAACCTTCATCTTTCATCTCCACACGCTAACCAAACAGAGCAAAATGATACTATCAGTTTTTTAGAGCATGTTTTAAACTGAAATAAGATCACAAAGTCAGAAATGATACCCAATCACGACCACATCACAAATTACATCCTTAATTATGAAATATGAATCATGAGTAAAAAGTCTAGGTAAAAGCAGTAATATGGATTTTTTTATGGTTCACTTTAGGGATTTTTGGTACCTGACCCCAATTGATTGGGAAAAGGTTATGATGGTGATGATTTATACTATTGGTTTTTGGTCATTACACCAAGTTCATGAATAATGAGAAATGTATTCTGGATAAGCAATAGTTATAAAGGATATGTCCAAACAGTTGCAAATTGATCAATCTGAACAATAGAATGTCCAGCAAGAGTGTGACACTTTTATGGTCATCCCAAATGTCAAGCATTACGTTTCTCAATTTCGGCTTGAATGAGGTTTCAGCCTCCAACTGAAACCTAAATAGAGTAAAATAGTGAAAAAACCCTCTTACGCATCTATAATCTCCATTTCCACATAGAACACCTCCCATTTTTCTCAAATTTCAAACCCAAATTCCAAAATTGAGCCCTCTTGTTTTCTTTTCTTTTTTTCTTTTTTAAGAAGATTGCACGGAATATGAACCAAATTCTCATGAGTTCCAAACGATTTTTCTGAATGAGATAAAATATATAGGAATCTTTATGTATTTTAATTGAAAATTCATGAATTTTAGGCAATGTAGGTGCAAAAATTCTTTCTGAACCTCGAAATTTTCATGGATCCAAATGCCACTTAGATTTGCTATACCGTTTTTATGTCCTAAGCATGCTGAAACTCTCTTCTTTTTTTTCTGAAATTTTTGCAACCAAAATATGGTTTTTCACCAATTTCAAAACTGTAAATGAATTCCATTTCCAAAAAACACACAATATCAGAGCAATAATTCAAGCATTTTTTCCAATAATGGTTTTCCAAGTTTCAGCCATTTAAGACAAATGTCAGTCCTTTCAACGTAAGTTTCATGGTAAAACAAGCGACAAAAATTTCACCTTGTGTTCAATGGGGGAAAATCTCGAATAATTATTTGATGATTTACACTGCGACATAGTAATTCCACGAAATCGACCAGGCTTTCCACCGTAACAAAACCTAGCCTTCGAATTATCAAATGTTCCCTGCTTTGGAGATGCAGAAGAGGGTGTGCAGTAGCAGCAAAGGATAGCTGCTGCCATGGATTTGACTGAAGAAAAACCAAGCTTCAGGTTTCGAGTTCCTGCAACTCTTATGACTGGTAGAATAAAGAAATCAGGGTTAGGGATTTTCGGGGAGTAGGGTGTTTGTTGGAGAGAGAGAAGGGAGAATTTAGAGGTTTATCCAAAGGCACATTCGAGAATCGAAATTTCAAGTATTCCCAACCTCATGCTTTGGATAAGGTTTATCTATGAATATACATTGATAGTATATGCCACTGTAAGGTTCCCCTTTGCATATTTTAGGGATAAGTCTGTGTATGTGCATGCGTATTTTGTATGGGAAAATTATAGGCACCCTACAAATTCAACTTTCTATACATCATTCGGAAAATTATTGGTACCCCACAAATTTAACTTCTTAGATATCCTGCACTCAAAACTCTCTTAATCCTACCCTAAACCCAACGCTGTTCTTTTTTATATTTATCTCTAAATTAAAAAAAGACAAAACAATGAATTTAAGACAAAGATGCTCTTATTCTCCATTTTAGTGTCACAGGACTCCCTATTTTCTCTCTCCAAGTAAAAACTCATTCTCTCTCTTCCTCTCTCTCCTTCTTTATCTCATTCTCTCACTCTCTCTCATTCACTGATAATGTGGCCGGGCACATAAGGTGCTGGATGAAAATCCTTTTGCCGTCTGACACAATAAAGTGTCGAATTGCAAAAATAAAAATAAAAATTGATATGCCATAAAGTGCGTCGGACCGCATTATCCACTTCAACACAAATTCGAACCGAGCCGGCACACTAGGTGTTGGATTGCATTACAAGCCACGTTACTGGAACTCAAAGCAGTCTAGTACACTACGTGCCGGACCGATTTTTTTTTTTACGGTTTGACATTTTTTTTGTGGAGGACACAAAAAAATTTCGATCCAACACCCTATGTGTCGGGCGACATTACCAGAAAATAAGAGAGTGAGAGCGAGAAAGAGAGAAAATGAGTTTTTACTTTGGGAGAGAATGTGTGTGGGTAGAGAGAGAAAGTCACATGACTCCAAAATAAAGGAGAAGAGAAAAAGTAAAAAGCATTTTGGTCCTAAATTCATGGGTTTTTTTAGGATATTTGGACATCAAAACAACCTCTTATAGTGAAATTTTTGAGGTAGGCTTTAATTTGATTGTCTAGAGCATCCGCTCTATATATACTTTTTCCTATAAGTTTCCATTTTGTATTTCTAGAGGCATTAAGTTTAGGGAAACGTTACTATGCTTCCCCTACATCATAAAAGTTATATCCTCCCCCTACCATCCATCCATCCAATTTTTATCAAGAGAGTCACTCACCATTTGATCTTAGATCCGACGTCTCAACGTATTTTATTTTTAGTTTTTCTTTTTCATACAAATTGTATAATTATGAAATTAGGTACGTGCCATCTTCTCATTGGGATGCACCTATAAAAAATATTAAAAATAAATTTTGGTTAAAATATAATCACTAAAATACCCCTTGAAACTTTTAAGGGGTATTTTGGTTATTTTATTTTATTGACAATAGTTTTTTTACATTTTTTGTTAGTGCAGGAATGGACGTCCAAACTTTGGTGTCAAAACAATTTATAGAAAAAAATTCAAAATAAAATAGTATAGAGACATGACATTGTGATTGGGGAAATCTTAGCCCTCCATTCAAAATGGACGGTTGGATAAAAGGGATGATAGAACTTCTAAACTGTAAGGGAAACATAGAAAGCTTGCCCTAAAGTTTATTTTAGTAACTTCATATATGTAAATTAATCTACGAGAAATTTATTTTCTATTTTTGCAAGCGTAAAGTTTATTTTGGTAACTTTATAAATGTAAATTATTGGGAAAATTATTTATATTAGCGTTTTAAGACTCGGTTATCTGAATGGAGAATCATCGATAAGGATTCCGAATGACTGGGACCAAACTTGTAGGTACTGGTAAGATATAGGTTTAAACTTGTCTTTACCCCCACACCCCCTCCTCCTGCTTTGGATGCAAAAAAAAAAAACAAAGAAAAGTACAAAAAGTTCAACTTTTTTCGTAAATATTATGGAAAAGGTTGCTTGACTATTTTTTTTAGTTTGCCTCTCAGTTCCATGTTATCAATGGTTTTAAATTTATTTATTTATTTATTCGCACTTTGGGGCTGGTCCGATATCTTGAACCTCATACTGCTTATTATGGTAATAGGGCACATAACTACTAGTCCGATGTGAGAACTACCAGGCTGAGGTCTTACACCTTGGACCGCTTAAACAAGTATGATAATTGGGACATTAAACCCGCCGCAACCCATAATTTTTTTTAGAGTGATTTACAGATGAATCTTAACATTTTAGGTAAAATACGGAATGCACCCCTGCAAAAATACGAAATCATCCCTTTTTTTTCTTTTTTTTTCCAAAAATACCCTTTGGTCAATCTGAATTTCGATTTTCTTTTTAGATTTTTTGTTAGTAGGGCAATGCCTTAAAGTTTGGGGCACTACCCTAATAATGGAAAACCTAAATAATAATAATAATAATTAATTAATTAATTAAGGTTGACCGAGAGGCAAGTTTGATAAAAAAAAAAAACCAGTTGACCAACTTTCTTTGTTATTTTCGCACATAAGTGCTGCATTTCGTATTTTACTTAAAAAATTAAGGTCCGTAAGTAAATCACTATTTTTTAAAAAAAAATAAAGACATAACTTGTACCGATGTTGGTAATGGCCAACCTGGGAAAAAAATAAAAATGACGCGAATCAACTGATCTTCCGTATAATATTTGCCAAAAAATAGAACTTTATGTATTTCCTGTTTATTTTGGTATCGGTACGTAAATAACTCTATTCTTATTTAATGACTTAATGGTTGTTTTTTTTAATTAATTTGGTATAGTTATTTTTCATTTGTTTAGTATATGCGCATCTTTTAGAGAGAGAGAGAGAGAGAGAGTAATTTTTTATTATGTTGGATTTTGGCCATGAACTAATGTCTCCTTGCATTTTCTCTCTATTTGAAACTCTGTTTGGGATTGGCGTCATATTTCGTCAAAATTAACCCGGGGATGGTTGGCGTAATTTTCGTAAACATTCAACCATTCCTGTAATAAAAGGTGGGAAAAAAGGTCCATACGTAATTTTGCCGTAATGTTTTCTAAGAGAATGCTCAACCCGATTTCTTTGAGACACGGATGCAAAACCAATACTTGTGTGCGTGTTTTAAGGTTAGTTGTCATCGTATTAACATGTGTCATTTTGTTTTTTTTAAAGGAAAGTGTTTGTATATTTCCCCTGCATCAAAGAAGATTTATGCTTCCCCTCCCATCCAGCCGTCCAATTTTGATCAAGAGAGTACTCACCATTTGATCTTAGATCCGATGTCTCAAAGTATTTTATTTTTAGTTTTTTTATACAAATTGTATGAATATGAAATTTGGTACGTGTCATCTTATTATTGGGCACACATATAAAAAAATATTAAAAAATAATGGCAAAAATATCCCTTGAAACTTTTAGGGGTATTTTGGTCATTTTATTTTATTGAAAATATATTTTTTATATTTTTCGCTAGTGCGAGTATAATAGAGGATTGGACATCCAAATTTTGGTGTCAAACTATTTTATAGAATAAATTTAAAAATAAAACAGTGTAGAGACGTGACATTGTGATTGGGGCAATCTTAGCCCTCCATTTAGAATGGACGGTTGGATAAGGGGAAGTATATAAGTTTTATGTTGTAGGGAAAGTCTAAAAAGCTTACCCTTTTAAAAAAAGAGTTTCGCGATTTTCTATGTTGTAGGGGAAGCATAGAAAGCTTGCCCTTTTTAAAAAAGAGTTTTGCGATTTTCCATGTTTGAAATTTATTGGATTTTCTTTTGGATTTTGGAAATTTAAGTTTTTTTTTCTAATTAAAATTTTATGCTTTGGCCGGTCCCAAGCCAATCATGCCATTTAGGACTTAGAATAAATTGTGAGGGGTGATTTGGTTTAAGTGGAAGAAGGGCAAGAGGAAGGCCCAAAACGACATTGATGGAAGTAGTGTGAAGATAAATTGTGACTTATTATTGTACGATGGTATGATTCTTGATAGAGCAAAATGGCGAAACATGATTCATATGGCCAGCTCCAAAAAGTTGGGATAAGGCTCGAATGATATGATATTTTTATTTGGTAGTATTTTGATGTTATCCATTTTTAGAGAGTGGATAGTAGTACCATCTCATAAGATTGTTCATCTTTAATATATGAGATTATATATAATGAGATAATTTCTCTTTGATACACGGAGCCACAATTACTTATAATTATCCAATGTGAAATCATGTAGCTTGTGTGTCACAAAGTTCAAAAAAAAATCATTTGACTCTTGAGATTGGTCAATAGAATGTAGAGTATATGGAGGTCACAATCATTCTCACTCATTAGATGTCAAATTGGATGGCTTGGGATGAGTTATGAAGTACGAGAAATTTTTTGTTTGGAACTTGTGTCTATTCAATGTCACTCTTATAACCACCCATTTTAAAATTTAATGGACAAAAATGATTGTGATCTCCATGTACAAATGATAAGTGGTCCAATCCTTTTTCTTAATGTACAAAAGCCATAAACATATTTGAGGGCAGTTTGCATACAGACGGATTCGTAGGTGTAGAGGTAAGGTGCACCTTCAAATTTTATCATGATATATTATTTTGATGTAAAATGTTGTTAGGATTATCTCAAAATCTATTTTTATATCTAATGTATAAAATTTTAAATTTAAAAAATGGTTAAAATCAAGTAGATCTATAAACATATGAAAATTTTGAAAATGGACGGTGTAGATAATATGTTGTAAAATGCACTATTTATGAGACTTAAAATATTTTTTTATTTTCATAGTCATACATCTTGATGTCGAGATGATCAATCAAAGGGGTTTTCAACATTAAAACTTCATTTTCTGATAAATGTTTGAGGGGCATCCGTAGTTCTACATTATAAAGTAGCGTCCTTATATTAACTTTTTCCAATGTATTTAGATATCAAATATGAAATCAAGAAGAAATCAATAGCATAAGCTTTTATTATTTATATTCAGGAAAAATTAATTTATATTTTATTGTGGGCTTCGGTCTAGTGCATCTTATAATTTCAGCTCAAAATAATTTATAAAAAAAAATTAAAATGAAAAGTACCAATAGCACTCATCGTTTAGATTGAAAATTAAAAAATGCCTAAAGTACAATATAAACCCGTTTGTGGCTCATATTATCTTATGCTAAATGATTTTATGCTCTCGAGGGGGAAATATTGTCTATCTACTCCCCTCGGGTAAAATTTAATCTAAGTGTATTTGTATGACTCTGAATTTTGTAGTACAAATCATATTATATTTTACCAAAAGATTTTATGCCTTCTAGTGTCTATTTACTCCCTTGAGTAAAATCCAATCTAGGAGTACCTTTTATAACTCTAAATTTTGTGAATGTAACCCCTCTAAATTATGGAATTATATAAAATGAGACCATTTTTATCTTTGATACAAAGAGGTCACAATGAATTATAGCCATCCGATGTAAAATTTGATAGCTCAAGTATGTCACAAAGTTCAAAAAAAATATTTTTAACTTTGAGCATGGTCAAAAAAATAAATGCAACCACCCAATTTCACATCCAATGGTCAAGATTATGTGTGACCACCTTGTACCAAAAGTCAATGGTCTCATTATATACTTTCCCTTAAATTATAGACCTATTGATTAAAAATAATTTCAAATTATACTATGTATAGGCACAAAGAAAAAATGTCTCAAGATTGAATAGAGAGCGTACGTTTTGAGAACTCAAAATCTAAATCTTTTATTCTGAAAATAATCTTTTGGTAATTAGTATGCCAAAATTTCAAATCGAAAAAAACTTTCTTCTGGAGCGTAGTATACGCTCTCATCATCTACTGGATATTATTGCCCGTATACAATATCCCATGGAAGTTTTGGTACCCAAAGTTTAGCCGTTTAGGTACATTAAACCCCCACAAAACTAACAAAAGCGGTTTAAAACCAGAAATCCGGTTTGGATCAGCCACCAACTATACTGTTCTAAATCAACAATCAGGATAAGCCGAAGTGATAAAAGTCAGTTAAAAAGTCATAAAAAGTGAAATTATTGGGAAGAGCGGAATCGAATCACCCACATATTGAATCCAATCCGGATTGACGATTATCGATCCGAGTTGCGGGGTTTTATAACTGGCCTAGATAACTAATAAAAATAAAATTAAGGGGGTTCCCAGGTTGAGAGGGCCCACCCACTCAATCTAATCCATACTGGCATTGTGTAAATCAATCATATGTGCAACCAATGTTTTAGAATTCAGTAATCTAGTTTGGGAATTGGTTCAATTTTGACAGGCTTGCTCGATTCCATTAGAGAACAAGTCTACCAGGGAACTAGGTAATCTATATCACCAGAATTGTCGGTTTCCACCCATTTTATATTTTTATTTTTTTAGTTTTTTATTTTTTTAAAACTAAATTTATTATTATTATTATTTGGGGAATGATTATCACACTTAAGAATATGTTTTTCCAATCTGGATCGCCTATTTGCTGATCTAAACTATACTTCAATGGCACATTATGGCTTCCATTTCCATTCACCTTCAAAAACTACAAACTAATTAAAAAATGGGTTGGGCCATTTTTGGGGGGAATTACCAAAAAAGGAAAAGAAAAACAGTGACACTATATAAATGTTCATTGGTAACATCGTCCATGTTGATACGTACCTAGCACTCGAGCAGAGAGAGAACAAAAATAAGTCACAATTATCAAAAGTAACATATATATATTAAAAAAAACTATCAACAGTAACATTTGCAGCATAAAATGATCCAATGATCCTCACTCTTCTAATCACTTCAACGAATTTGTTTTAACAATTTGAGTGAGGATATTACCCAGCTTCAAATCGCTGCAATGTATTTCTTTTTAAAGAGTTTGAAACGGGATAAATGCAAAAAAGAAAAGACAGCAAGTAGAACAAAATGCAAATAATGGTGTGATTTCGCAATCTAGCCCGTGGTGTTAGGGTGATTGATGCCACGCTGCATCTGAATTTCACCGTACTCGGCTTCCTTCTCTTTCACATCCTCGTTCATCTCCTCGACTTTGTTCCGGCAATAAATGCCATAGAGTATGAGTTGAATAGCACCAAAAAGCGCACCGAGGCCATTTGGAATCTACATCAGCATCATCAACAAAATCAACAATAACAATATAAAAAATAATTGTTAATTAAAAAGAAAGTACGATGAATTAGTGAACCATTAAAGGATAGAAGAACACAACAAAAAGGTCCCTAAAAAAACAGGAAAAAAGAAGAAGTTAGAAAAAGGAGGTCATTTATTATGTTTATTGCACAAAAAGGAATAGGAAAAACACAAGAACGGTCACCAATTAGGTTTAATGTAAGACTAATAATGGTATTTGTAGCCCCCCAATTGTCTGTTTTAATAAGTACAAAAACAATTAACAACAAACAGAGGGAATACATATTGAAAACAATACAACATGAGAGTGAAAAGATGTAAAACCAATAAATCATGAGGCAGTAAAGTATATCCATGGTCTATTTTTCCATGTTTTTCAGTTACAAACAATTGAGAGAAAAAAAAATGAAAAAAGGAGTGTTTGCAAATTCAAAATACTTACAATCAGATTTATGTCAAAGTGGATGCTAGCATAGATGCTCCAGCAAACGCCGTTAAGGAAATTGGTCAAGGAGAGAAAAAAGGGCATGTATTGCACACTCTTAGTAGTGATAACTCTTTTCTGCAAAAGACACCAATCAATTGTAATTTGAATAAAATATGGTAACTATAAATGAAAAATGGCATGTTTGTCTCACAAATATAAGGTTACTTGTGCTTGTAAATGTAATAAAGAAGAATATCCGACACTAGTGTTCATTATCAAAACTCCGATTATCTAATTAAATTAGTAAACAATACTTATCTAATAGATTACTTTGTGGGTGAGGTTTGTATAAGGTGTAAGGCACACCTCTAAATTTTACTGGAAAATGTAGTTATGGTGTCGAAAACTTAATGATGACTTGAAAATCCTGTTCAACCTTAATTATGAAATTAAAATTTTGGAAAATAGTACAGATAGTAAATTGTAAATCTTGAAAATAGATTGTCATAGACAACTTGTTACAAAACTGCCTATTTTTAGGAATTAGGATTCTTTTTTTTCTTTATATTAATACATGAAAATTGAGATGATCAATTGGAAGGTTATTCAACTTCGAAATACTCTTTTCTATTGGATTTTTTGTGTATACTTTACTTTTATAGCATAAGATTGCAACATTATATAAACTTTTTCCTAAGTAATAAATACTTATCTATAAATAGGACATACTTTTCTTTCGGAAACTCCACAAAAGTTCATGCATTCGCATGACGAGGCCATAGTTAATTATCGAATTAAACAGAGAATGATCTTTCTTCAATAAAAAATCCACAGTTAATATGTTATCTAATGAACTAATAAAATAGAGAATAATTTTTCTTCAAAAAAGGTTTCTTAAGTTTCAGGCCTGCACCTAGTGTTTGATCCCTAACAATCAAAGCAAATTTAAAAAGGAAAAACTAGTGAAGGTCACACATTTTAAGAACCCAGTGCATATACACTAATTGCAAGAGCAATACATAAAATATTTTATACAGAGTAAAAAGAAATAACAAATACTAAGGGAAAGTTTATCAAAATATTTATAACAGCTGATCTATTTCATATTTTACCATATCTTTTGCTTTAATTTCAAAATATCATCAAAAGACACATATTGATAAGTTGTAATAGTTGCAAATGAATGAACTATTGAATCGTTCATGTCTCATGATATTTTGATAAAATTACCCAAAATTAAGAACTACAAACTATAAAATAGAGTGAAATACATAACCATCTATAACCAAACAACAACAAAAACAATCACTAAATTTCAAAATAATCCATACCTCATGGACCTAATATGTGAGTATAAATAAAGGGTGTGGTTTTTATAAGGTTGCAACTTTCAACAATCCAATTAAGGCGCACCTCCAAATTTTATCATAACATGTATTTTTTGACATAAAAAATTCTTAGGATTATCTCAAATTTTATTTTTATATCTAATTATAAAATTTTAAACTCCAAAAATGGTTAAAATTAAGTAGATCTATAAACATATGAAAATCTTGAAAAATGACAAACTAGATAATGTATTGCAAGATGCACTATTTCTAATACTCAACTTTTTTCTTTTTCATATTCATACATCTCGATGTCGAAATGATCAATTAGAAGGTTTTTCAACATTAAAACAACTTTTTCCGATGGATTTTTTAGGTAAGTATGTAATTCTACATTTTAAAGTTACAACCTTATATAAACTTTTTCTATAAATAAATAATATTAATTTGGTGAGTTTTTCAATAAATAAGAACTCAAAGAATTCCTTCACCCAAAACTCTTAGGATAGATACACAAATAAATAACATTAAGTTAATAAAGTTTTACTTACCATGACAGAGAGAGGGGCAGCGTACATACAAGTGCCAAAGATGATGCAAAGGATGCCCACAATCATGGAGCGCTTCTCATGGGTGTGAGCCAATGTAAGCACACACGATATAACCACAGCCATGAACACGATCTCGCAGAGCAAGTACATACCCACTTTTATCTGAAAAACAAAAACCTCAAAAACAATTACGAAGAGAAAACAAAATCATCACTTTCCTAGAGGGGTGTGGTTTGTAAAGAGCCGAGGCTCAAAATAAAGTGTATCTTCAAATAACGGCGAGAAATGAGGCTTCACTATTGGAAATTTTTGTGATAGCCTTAAAATATATTTTCATCTTTAATTAGAAAATTTAAAGCTTAAAAAATAGTGTAGATCGAGCAGATATATGATAATTTAAAAAACTTTTGAAAAACTTAAAAATTGACGATCAAAAAATACACTACATATGTATTATTTTCAAAACTTAAAATCTATTTTTTTCTCATGTCCATTCATTTTTATGTTGAGATGATCAATTTGAGAATATTTGGGGTATCAAAACAACCTCTTCTAGTGAAATTTTGGAAGTGAGCACTAATTTGATCGTTTAGAGCCTCGGCTCTATATAAACATTTTCCATCAAACACATCCAAATTTTACCATGGTCTAAAAAATTCATGGGATGGCTTGAGAATCTATTTTGAGCTCTAAATATATAATCTTAAACTCCAAAAAGGGTTCAAACCAAAATTAAGGAAAATGGTTTGTAAGATCTATAAACACTTTAATTTGCAAATTATTTCCCTTTTATATATGGCTCTACTTATTTTATTTTTCTTAACTGTTAATGGTCTTAGTACGTATAAAAGCATGGTTTTTAAAAAAATTAAGGAAGGGTAACCCATCCGTCTTTTATCCATGATCACATCTGGACCGCACATTCAAATATAGTACTGCTACCTGGTTGTCCTGATTGCCTTGCCATTAAGGTGCAAGGTTTTACACGTGTAAACTGACATATAGGTTGTTACACAGGCAACCAAGTTATGCTTTCATGTGCAAGCATGCATGGCATGTACACATACACATACACATATACATACTAGTACATGATTCAGACAAGCTCAAAGACACACCAGGCCTAGATGCATGCATGCACTCCACTAATGCATGCATGCATGACAATTCATATTTGGCAGAGAAATACCAGAAACGAGCAGACCAGGCACTAAGAATGATTAATTAATTATTTTGCATAAAAAGCAAAAATAATTGAAAAAAAAAACCTGGTTTTCCTGTTGAACTGTGGAAGAAAAGCGAGGCATTAATTCTAAAAAGAGAAAATATGGACAAAAAAGGCATGTCTAGAGAGAGAGAGAGAGAGAGAGATGCATTGTTTCCAGACATACACAAAATTTCTCAGAGATTGCTTATTTTAGAGAGAGAAAAACTTGTTTTAGAGAGAGAGAATGATACACAATTTCTCAGAGATTGCTTATTTTAGAGAGAGAAACACTTGTTTTAGAGAGAGAGAAGGATACACAAAATTTCTCAGAGAATAAACACTTGTTTTAGAGAGAGCGATAAGGTACACTAAATTTCTTAGAGAATAAACACTTATTTTAGAGAGAGAGAAGGATAAAGAAAATTTCTCAGAGAATGCTTACTTTAGAGAGAGACAAGATCACTCGAAAGAAAACAGTTGTTTTAGAGAGAGAAAAGCGCACCCTCTGAGCTTTGGTGGAGTAGATAAGGAACATTGTGAGGTAGAAGGACTCAAGAACGAAGCCAACTCCATTAATGGTGACCACAAGAATACTATTGGGATGAACAATAGGAAGGCCATAGAGAACCCACATCATACAATTCAAAAGAGTTGCAACATAAGGGACAGCCGAAAAGTGCTCAACCGCTCTCTTTTTCCATATCATATAAAAAGTGGGCCTGTAAAAAAAATATCAGTAAAATTACACAGAAGAAAAAGAATATTAAACAGAAGTAACAATCAATAATTAAAAAAAATGAAAAAAGCAGAAGATCAACAATGCAAAAGTTCTTACATGGGAGAGAGAAAGAGACCGAATGATATCACATTCCCTGGAAAATAATTGTGGAATAAGTAATTAAATAAATATGAATCTATGGACCAAAAGAAAATTATATTAATTTTCTCTGTGAAGTCAAAATGCATAGACAAAGCATAATGGGTCCCATTAAATCTTGCTACTAAAAAAAAAAGTGAAAAAAACAAAAAACAGAGAATACAGAGAACAAGGATGACTCTTATTATTAGGTTAAGATTAAACAAACATATCTGCCATTAAAAAGATTAAGAAAAAGCAGTAGGACGATTATCTGGATACAGAGTCTTCAAAAACCATTAAAATTTTGAGATCAAATAAACTAATCTGCTGTTAAATAACAATCAAGGAAAAGCAAAAGCAATATAACAAGCGCATGAAGTATTAAAAATTCATTACAATAACAAAAAGAACTATTGCAGATACCAGAAACGACCAAGAAAACGATGGGAATGCTTACCTATAATGCCAACAATGTTACGAACAGTATCGGGATTCACCATCGTGGCTACAACAGTTTTCTAGAAAGGGAAACGTTCAGAGAAACAGAAAAAAAATTAGAAAGAGAGACTGTTTAGAGAACAGAGAGAATTTAAAGAGAGAACGAGAACAGAAAAAAACCAGAGAGAGAACGGTTTAATGAACACAAAATCCTAGAGAGAGAGAATTGGAGGGACGGTTATGGCTTAAAAATGCAAAAAAAACCAGAAGAACGATAGTTAAAGGGATTCTTTGGACTTAAAAAGCCAAAAAAAATCAGGAGAGAGAGAGAATCGCACGAGTTTTTCAGATTTGAAGTGGGAAAAAGGAACCAGGTTGTTGAGAGGGATTATTTTTTAAATATAAATTTAAGAGAGCGAGAGGCCTTTGATTCTTGAAAACAGATTTATGAGATATTTAAAATTAGAAAATACACAAAGTAAATTCGTGTTTATCCATTCAAATGCGTGGGCCAATGGATTTCTGCCTATTCCTTGTATGAATCAACAGCTAAACAAGCGATTTTAATATCCACCATTAAAGGCAACCTAGGATTTCTAAATCCTCTGTCTTAGGGTTAGGTTTATGAAATACTCGGCTTCTCTTAATTCACTCTCCCTCTCTGCGCTCTTCTCTCTCTACGCCCTTTTTCTCTCTCTTCTTCTGTGTTTTGCTGATTCTCTCTCTACAGTTCCTCTCTCTACATTCCTTGATAAATGCCCTAACACCAAACATTTCGAAAGAGCTCCTATATCCATGCTCCTTATTTGGAAATTTGACTAAAATTTCCTCCATGTGTTTTTGAAATAGCAAAATAGTGAAATTTGACTAAATTTTCCTCCATGTGTTTTGGAAATAGCAAAATAGTGTTGGACAGTAATTGTTTTCTTTTTTTGGTAAGTGGATAAATAATTTTTGGAAATAAAAAATAGCATTTTAAATGGTGTATTCTTTAGGAAACCAGATTTGGAAACCGATTTGGAAACCAATTTGAAAATAGCAAAATAGTGCTGGATAATATTTGTTTTTTTTTTTTTGGGTAAGTGGATAAATATTTTTTGGAAATAAATAATAGCATTTTAAATGGTGTATTCTTTAGGAAACCAGATTTGGAAACCAAATTGAATATTATTGAAATGCGAATATGGGAATTTTGGTGATTCTGTTTTCTGGATTTTTCTATGTGATTTTCTTTGTTCCAAAATTTATTTGAGTTTCATTAAGTTTTGGAAAAGGAAAAAGTTTATGTAAGGTTACAACAGTAAAATATAGAATTAAAGATGTAACTCAAAACTCCATTAAAAAAGGTTGTTTTAATGTTGAAAACCCCTCTAATTGACCATCTGGACAAGATGTACGAATATATAAAAAAAAAAAAAGAATTTTGAATCTCAGAGGGCATCTTGCAACACATTATCTAGACCTTCCATTTTCAAGATTTTCACATGTTTATAGATCTACTTGATTTTAACTATTCTTGGACTTTAAAATTTTATAATTAGATATGAAAATAGGTTTTCAGAGAATCCTAATAATTTTTTATACCAAAATTATATGATATGATAAAATTTGGAGGCGAGCATTAATTGGATTGTTTAAGGTTACAACCTTATAGAAACCACACCCTTTGCAAATTGTGTTTTTATATGAAGGACAATCGTTCTATGAGTTCGTTGAGTCACCTATTTAAATGCTTCCTCTCTCAAAATTTTTTTTTTAGATAAGGATTTTGGATTCAAACTTTGAAATTCCAATAATGACAATTTTGCTTGTAGAATGAAAACTTCATTGTTAAAATTTGCTTGGAGATGTAATTCCTATGTCAAAAACAAAATTTTATGATGGGTTGAAAGTTTATTTTTATTCATAGTTATAAAATTTGAAATTTCAAAAAATAATAATCATTAAGCATATCTATAAACACATAGAAAATTTGGAAAATAGGTCTAGCTTACTTGTTACAAGATGCACTATTTTGTAAAAACTTAAATTTTTTTTTTTCCTGTATCCACTCATCTCGAGGTCTAGATGATCGATTAGAGAGTTCTCAACATCGAAACACTCTCTTCTATCAGATTTTTGAGGTGCACCTTACTTCAACATGTTGCAACCTTATATAAACTTTTTCTTTATTATAAAGCATAAAGAAAAAAGATTAAATCACTTGAATTATTGAAGTTTTTCCCTAGTAGAATTGGAAAAATAGCAATCCTCTTATTTACAAAGTTGTTTTGAGGTTTGCGTGTTCTTGTCTTTCACATGAAAAATGCAATAAAAGAATTTCGGTTGTGTCGCTTGCTTTTGTTTAAAAACAATTACTCTGAATTTCATTCACCCATAAACGATTACAATGAAGTTCAAGAAGAAAATAATGTAACTACCAATGAATGTTGGTGCACACCACCCTTTGCTAAAGCATCAACTTTATATTAACCTCCCCAAAACAATGAGATAACTCAAAATAACCACTACTTAAAATGAAAAAGATTTCATTGAAAATGCTATATAATCTTCAAGCTGGCTTTATTTTTCCCTTTACCAAAGCAATGACATTGCTTGAATCACCTTCAATCATCTTTTGGCCCCCGTGGTTATTTATTATCTTTAAACCTTCTAAAAGAGCTCTTGCATCAGCTTCATTCATTGTTGTATGTCCATATGGCCCTGAGTAAGTAAATTTGTAATTACCCATATGATCTCTAATAGTACCACTTTAACCCGTTGAGCTTGGGTTTCTAATCGAGCTTCCATCAAAGTTGAGTTTTAAGCAATTTCCATGATAAGGCATCCAAATAGCATTTCGAGTCTCTCTGTCATTAATAAGCTTAGCAACTTCAAATAGGCTCTAAAAAATATGTGATTTTGAGATAAACTTACAATCCTGGTTTGTTGAAAACCATTCAAGTGCTATTGCTAAGGTGTTGGACTTCAGAACTTCAATCTCACTTTGTGTCTCTTCAAATGTTATTCTATTTCTCTCTTTTTAAATATTCCAAATAGTGCTCACCCATAAAGCTCTCCATAGCACGGTGCCAACTTTCTATAGACTATGGTTCATCCATTGAGAGATGATCAATTCTAGGCTTTGTGGGATGAGGATATTTAGATTCAACAACTTTCTACACCAATCACATATGCTTAGAGTGAAAGGGCAATGTAAAAGAATATGATCCACACTTTTGTTATACCTCTAACATAGCTTACAAACATTGACAATTTGAAACCTCTCTTGCGAAGGTTATCCACAGTAGGCAACTTTTTTTGAAGAGTTACCAACAAAAAAAATTGCAGTGAAAGGACAATGTAAAAGAATATGGTCCACATTTTCGTTATTCCTCAAACATAGCCTAGAAATATTAATAATTATTAAACCTCTCTTACGAAGGTTATTCACAGTAAGCAGCTTTTTTTTGAAGAGCTACCCACTAAAATAACTTAACCTTCAGCGGCACCTGCAAATTCCAAATTCTTGCTAAACTACGATCAATCGCTCTGTGATTTTCCTCATGCAACAGTCGATATACTGACTTAACTAAAAAATCCCCTGAAGCTGTGAGTTCCCACACCAATCAATCATCTTTATTGGAAACATACAAAATATTACGCAATAGATTCATAAGCAATTGGAACTCATGAAAGAAGAATATGAGACCCTTCTGTACCTGCAAACAATATTCCAAACGGAGTTAGTAAAATCAGCTCCTCTAAAAACTTTTACTGAGGCCAATGGATTGTCGACTTTAGAGAAGACTTTAGGGAAAGAATCTCGAAGAGCAAGGTTTTCCAGCCATTTATCAAATCAGAACAAGATGTGATCTCCCTTTCCAACCACTTTACGACAATGACTAAGATATAATGATCAGCACGCATCAATTCCTTTCCAAATACTTGAAAAACCAATATTAGATCTTGGACTTTTACTGAGGCCAGTCAATACATCTACTTAATACCTCTCCCCATAAGCTATCCTGTTGATTTTGGAAGCGCCACCACCACTTAGTCAATAGGCTAGTGTTCATCAATTTGAGTTTTTTAACTCCTAGACCCCCATCTCTCTTGGAAGTGCATATCTTTTCACAATTCACGAGTTTCGGATTTTCTCCATTCCTACATTGCTCCATAAAAAAGATCTCATAATGTTTTCTAAAGTCTTCACCACCTGCTCTGGCATTATGAAAATTGACATAAAATAGATGGGCAAGTTGGACAAAGTAGAGGTGATAAGAGTAGATATTCCTCCAAATGAGTTGGTCACCGAGAACCTATCCAAGCGAGTAAGGGTAAGGTCTGAAAGAGCATGGTTTGACTAGGTGTAAGCAGCCCCAATCGAAAGAATGTCCAAAAGTTCACTATTCTGAATAAAAGAATTAAACATGAGCATACAAGGAGAGATCCTAAGATTAACTGAGGATTCACTAGGCCATCGAATCACATTGAAATCACCTGCAATACACCATGGCATATTAGCGAAATTGGTCAAAGCATTCAGTTCATCAATAAATTGTGCTCTTTCATTGGAATGGTGGGGACCATATACATTTGTTAAACACCATTTAAAACCATCCACAGGGTCATAAAATAAAATGGAGATATGTCTTTCATTTAAAACACAATCATCTTTTTGAACCACACTTGGGTCCCATATGACCCATAAACCACCTGATAAGCCATTAGAATCAAAACCCACAAAGTCCATTGGTCTCCTACCCCAAACTAATTTAGCAGACTGAAAATTCGGGACCTTTATCTTTGATTCCTGTATAATCAAAATGTCAGGTTTTTCCTGCCTAACAAAAAGCAATACATTTTTTTCCTTCTGCTACTATTGAGACCCCGAACGTTCCAACATAGTATTTTCATTCTTAGACATAACCCCTACTGTGGCTGGTGATCTTAGATAGACCAATAGACATTGTACCACAGCATTCAGAAATGGTGTGAGTGCACCCATTAAGAAAGACACTGTCATAGTTTATAAAGCATACCAAATTGTCGAGCTCCTTTTGCATTTACCCTCTGTGCTTTGATTTTTGCATCTTTGAGCCTCCAGGTTATGCATCAACACTCTTGTCACGATCTTTCTACAACATTTCAGTGATAGAGTCCAGAGAGCATGTGTAATGGAGATTCATCGCATCAACAACTTGTCGACTTCTGAGTTGTGCAGGACTTCTGGTAACCTTCTATGCTCATCATCTTCTTCATCCTCTGGGGGGTCATCTGGCAAGTGATAGGCCAAGGGGATTGCCATTACCAATTATTCATCTTCATCATTATTTCCACCACTTGCCATTTTCATAGGCTCTACTACTTCAAAATGTTGTTGAAAGACATTTCCATCCCATGCAAGTTTTCACTCTTATCAGACATCAGGGGTTTAACATTTTCCTCATCTTCTAGGTTGTAATCAATCAAGGGGTATTAGCTAGGATACAAGGTATTAGTTTTCTTCGAGGATTTCAGAGGTTTTGAAGCCACTCTTTTCACTAGAATCTTCTTCTCGTACGCCATGACCACATAGATTTTTTCTTTGCCTTTTGTTGATTAAAGGGATAGATGGGGGTGGTTAAGGAGTGCACCAGAAAACACACTAGAACTAAGCCCCTCAGGAGACTCTGCTTTATGATGGTGGACCTGAGATTTTACTATATGTACTGTTGTTTCTAATATTACGTGGTGTCCTTCCACACACATGTCCC